ATCCAAGTTGTAGAATATTGCTTAATCAGATTATTGCATTCGAGGCATGTGTCTTGATGTATTTGTTGTACTGTTGTACTGATTTAGAAAGTAAACAATGCCGACTGTTTTGGTGTACATAATGTCGATCTTTTGGAGGAGGTAAGCTGAAACATCCACTTTTTACAAAAATTTTCTTGAAAAAAAATGGTGGGCCAATGAAAGTATATAAGGTTTTTCTTGTAAGAGTTACAATAGTATAATCCAGTTCCTCTGTTTTTACTAAATATTCTTCTACAGGAACCCACAGGGACATTGCTCCCAAAATGTCCTTTTGGTTTGGATATCAAAAGTATGGGAAGTCCACTTCTTTTTTTCTTGCTGTTTCCAGAGACTCCTCCGGTTTGGATACCGAACACACAAAGAAGTCACTACACAGGAAGAAAGGGCTTGACCTCTGTGCAAACCGTCCACAACACCCGTATCTCGGTATATCATGTTTAAGAACTTCGTCAACAGCTTATAAAAAAAGGAGCTTGATCGCGATACTGGACCCACTTTTTGTTTATATGCCCGCTCCTTGGTGTTTCACGTATATAAGTTTAGTCGACAGCAAGTATGAAAGTATGAACCAAGAGTATTGTAGTGTCTACTTTGTCACTTTTCTATAATGTTAACTGTAGTTCGATTTTTTTTGTTGACCAAGGGATCGTCAGAAAGAGTTGCTTTTGATTGTTTTTGTTTTTTTTTGGTTTATTTATTTATTTTTTTTTATTCACAATTTAAAATTTTAGTGTTATTAATTTATTATATAATTTTTTGAAATTCTAAAAATATAAATTTTAAAATTTAGCACTTCTATATATATTCATATATATATTTTGAAATTTAGCACTATGATGTGACTACGTAGATGTTCTGCACCATAACAGTTTTTATATATATGCTTAAAGATATTTATATACCGTATGCTACTGAATAAAAGCTACCCCCACGATTTTGGACTCAAGAATTTGAAAAACGTTATTATGCTTTAATAGTAAAATTAGACCCGAATAGAAACTACCTTCTCACTTTATCCCAAAAAAATTCTCATTTTTTTTCAACATTTTGGTAGCTTTTATTCGGTAACATACGGTGTATATTTTGTGATCTATTAAATCAATTTTACCTGATGGTTTAACCACTATTAGAATCATAACAACCTGCTTTACAACTTTACTTAGAACAAAAAAAAGGGTTTATTTAATAAAATTTATATAATTAGCTCTTTATTTGGTTGGTCAAAGTATTTGACCAATTTGACCAATATTCTTTTTGACCAGACTGGTCGGGCTACAAATATTGAAAATCCACGCCAAAAAGATGAAATTTATTGTCGCGGCTGAAACTTGCTGAAGCTTGAAATTTTAAATACTTTAATACTGTATGAAAATTTCAAAAAATTTTAGGATTTAGGGTTAGTTTTAATAATTAAAATGTATAAGTGGATTTCGGTAGGGTTTATATTTTTAAATCGAGGTCCCTAATTTCAAGCTTCAGTCGTTTCAAGCTTCAGCCGCGACATTTATTTATAAAAGTCGACTATATTCCGTCGATTTTTATTCTCTAACTTTTGAACTCTAAAGTATTAATTCAAAAATCTTAACTTTCTTTTTATTTCTTTGCTATTAAATGTATAGAAATTAGAAGGAATTAAAAAAATGTCATGTCCAGTTTAAATGATTCAAGTAATATCATCAAGTTCAAATTATAGTAAAAACACTAGTGAAATTATCCCCAGTGATGATTTAAATTTTTGGGTACATCTGATGCATAAATATAGAAATGTCGACAAGCCATCAGAATTTACAAATCAGGCAGAAGTAAGTGATGGA